GGGGGGGGATGGGCATAGGCCACATCCTGCTGCAGGCAGAGCTGATCAGTGATGCTTCCCCAGACACACACACACACACACACACACACAGAGAAACACACAATCCAAGATGCACCATTGGGCTCCCACCCCCTGAGAAACAAGCCCAGCCCCACGAGGGACCTCTCAGGGCGACCATCCTGCAGGGGGAGGGGGCCAGCCCTGGGCCTCCCCCCCCACTCACCTCCGAGTTCTCCACCACCTTCTCCAGGTACTTGTTGAAGATGGAGTACTCCTGCAGCCTGGCACTCAGCTGCTGGTGCACCAGCCGCAGGGCCGCCATCTCCTGCTTGACCTTGGCCAGCTCTCGCACCCGCTGCCTCTTCAGTTCCCGCTCCTTGTTGGCCTTCTTCAGGGCGCGGATCCGTTTCTGGTCGTTCTCCTGGGGCGGGGGATGGGAGGCGGCACTTGTCAGACCTTCTCACTGCCCTTCCCCAGGGAGGGGGGCGTGGAGGGGGAGGTCCTAGCCCTTGTCTTCCAAAAGCAGGGGGTCCAACCACAGGGGGTTGGGATAGGAGTCAAGGCCAAGCTCCCACAGCTCACACTGGCCTCCGGCTGAGGCGGAAGAGAAGGCGCAAACAACTGATGCCCTGAAAGACGGACCCGGGGCTCAGCTATGGCCATCGGGCTGACACCCCCTTCTCCTTCATCCTGCAAAGTACTCCACCCCCCAAGATCAGGGGGCCACACCCACCCCTCCCAATGTCCCCCGTGTGGCTCCTGTCCCTCCTCGGGGGCTCCTGTGCTTCTGCACAGATGGAAGATGTTTGGAGGCAGGTGGAGAAGGCATGCGTGAGATTTGCCCTGTGCCCCACGAGACCCAAGGGTCCCCTAAACCAGCGGCTCTCAAGGCCAGCTGCGTATCACAATCCCCCGGGGAGCTTTTTATTTTATTTCTAATTTTATTGTTGAATGCTTATTTATTTATTTTTGAGACAGAGAGAGACAGAGAACAAGTGGGGGCGGGGCAGAGACAGAGAAGAAGACACAGAATCCAAAGCAGGCTCCAGGCTCTGAGCCGTCAGCACAGAGGCTGATGCAGGGTTCGAACTCACAAACGGGATCATGAGCTGGACACTTAAAAGTTGGACACTTAACCAACCGAGCCACCCAGGTACATCCCCCTCCCCCGGGGGAGGTTTTTAAAAATGCTGTTGCTGGGCCCCCACCCCCCTCAGGCTTGCTGAAAGCAGAGAGACACCCAAGGGTCTGTATTTGTAATAATATTTTTTAGGATTCCCATGCTGTGGGGCCTCTGGGAGCTATTTGGAGAACCTCTCACCCCCCCAAATCTCCTGCCACCCCAACCACGCCACTAGCTTTTCTCTGGCCAGTGGGAAGGACTGGAGAATATGCACCTTCCATCCACTTCTCTCCCACCTGGATTGTGCACAGAGCAAGACAGGAAATGCTTAAGGCAGGGGTGCCCTGGAGGATTACCCCTGGGAGTGAGGCCAGGCCCTTCACGGCCCCGTCAGGGCTGGCTGGAGCTGGTCTGGAGAAATCCGGATGGTTAAATCCTCCTCTGAGGACCGATGGAGAGGAATTACATTCTGGTGACTGGTCCTTCAACAGACCCCTCCCTGGACCTTCCGTGCAAGGACGGAGGGGTGGCTGAGTGGCGGGGAATAAAACTCTACCTGGTTCCCCTCTGTATCCCCATGTGCCTCACCCTGACTGTGGCACATTCATTCATTCATCTTCATCCACCCATTCATTCATTCATTCATTTATTCATTCATTCACTGGAGATACCGTGTGTACTGGGGAAACAGGAAATTACAAACAGTAATAAATGAGGACATAAGGGAGAAGCCCTTTATGAGCAGAGAAGAGACATCTAACCTGGGGTGAGGAGTCAGCAAGAGCAAGGAGGAAGGGGAGAAGGAGGTGGAGGAGGAGGAGAAGGAGCCCTACCCCCCCCAAACCCCACCCCCCACCCCTGCCTCGCTGGCCCCTCCTACCTGGATGAACTGCTCAAACTTCTGGATGTGAGCCTTCAGCTGGGCCTCCTTGGTACCCAGTTCCTCCCAGCGCAGACTTAGTGTTTCCATCCTGCGCTGAAATGTCTTGGGGGGGTGGGGAGGGTAGAGAGGTCAGGAGGGCCCCCCCCACCCCCCTGCCCCGCCCCTCCCTCCCCGGTGCCTCTATCCCCAGGCCTGCCCGGTTCAGAGAAGAGCATCCCAGGTCCCGGGACACTGCTCCCCTCAAGGCTCAGGTCCCTTCTCTCTCCTCCCGGCCGGGAACACAGAAGCCTCGCGCAGGGCTCCCAGCTCTGGCCACCCACATAAAGGAGGGCTGTCCCCAGGCTCTCTGAGCCCCGGGGCCCTTCCTGCCCTCCGTCCCCACCTCCTTCTTCTGCTCCATAGCAAGGTGCATGATCTTGGCCTCCTTCTTCTTCTCCAGGAGCCGGATGGATGGGGACTCCGACTGCTCCTCATTGTTGGGGAACTTCCTGCCCAAGACATGGGCCAGACAGGCCCGTGGGTTCTGAGCGCCAGGGAAGGGCTGGGGCTGGCGGTAACCCGTGGACATGGAGAGGGAAGGGGGTCCTGTCCCCCACGGGAGTGAGAGGAGGGGAGGGAGCTGTGCTGGCATCTGGGAAGCACCCCAGGGCAGGGCGATGGGGGCCTGAGGGCTGGTGCCAGGGGGAAGGGGCGGGTGATCTGGGACCCAGCGCTGTAGGAAGTGAAGGGACAGGCTGGGGGGTGGGGCATGGTGGGGTGGGGGACACTCACTGCAGCAGCTGTAGCAGGCGCTCTCCATACTGCAGCCGGAAGTACTTGGCCAGATCTTCCTCCTCCATCATGCCCAGGCTCATGCTGGCGGTGACCTAAAGGGCCAGGCGGCCGAATCCTCGCAGTGAAACGGTGGCTGGTGGGTGGCTTGGGGTGGTGGCTGGGCTCTTGCTTCTCCCTTCCCCCTGCTTCTCAGGGTCCCTCCGAGGATGGGTGTCTGCCACTGGGGAAAGAGGCTGGACACCTGCGGTGGGGTGGTGTACCGGGAAGTGATGGGGCCGCTGGTTGCCTAGCAACGGATCTCCTGGTTCCCTGGACCACCCACTAGAACTTTGCTCTCTGACCCTTGCCCCCCCTGACCCCAGTCTTGCTGGAACCCCGCCCTCTGCTCCTGCATTTACCCCCCAGGAGCTTGGGGGAGAAGTCAGGCCTTGTTAGATGCTGGTGTCCAGGCCCAGGAGGCAGGGCCTGGGTGGCCATGGCCCAAGAGGAGGGTTTTGGTAGAGGGGTGTCCTTGGGGGTTCAGGCTGCGTGTGAGGGTGAGGCAGGGGTGGGGGCCTGCAGGAGGGAGGGAGGAGGCGGAGCTTGAGAACCAAGTGATGGGTGAGGGTGGGATGCGCGTGGGGATAGGCAGGGAGGCTGGGGACCAGGGAGGCCGCGCTGGGAATGGGGGTGGGGTGGGGAGGGCCCGGGTGCAGCGGGCTCAGGGCCAGAGCCTTCATTTAAACGTCACACACTAACGTGTGTGACACGTGTCCCTGATGCCATCAGAGCACTGGGCCTAAGCTCATTGGGGCAGGGAGCCCGGCATCCAGGTTTGAGGCCCCACGGGAGGCGGGCGCCGAGGGGTCTTGGGCCGGGCCCGATGGGGGGGGGGGGTGGTGTCAGCCGCGACCGAGTTCCCCGGCTCCGCTCGGTCCCCTCTGCGCCCCGCCCGCGTCTGCAGCGGGCTCTGCCAACTCCGGGTTTGGGGCGGGGGTCCCTCCAGGGAAGGGCGGCGCCCCCCAATGGGCGAGCCCTCCCCGCTACATTTGCCGGTCCTCTGGCGCCCCCTGCTGGCCGCCTGACACCGCACCTGTTCTTGATCCCCAGCCCCCTTGGAACTGGCGGGGGGGGGGCGGGGATGAGGGGGAACCAGACAGCACCCCACGGCCACCAGCCTATCAGCCAACACTGGTTCTCCCCGGGCCCCCTCCCCCCCAAGGAAACAGACCCACAGCAGTTTGACCAGCGCACCAGGAAGGACTCTAAGGGGGGCGCTTCTCTCTTTGTTTATTCCTAGAGCCCGGCCCGGCTTATTTGGGGGTTGCCGTCTATTCCCCCCTCCTCGAGGGCTGCCTGTTTGCCCAGGTGTATGGACACAAACTTGGCTGCGTGTATGGAATCAGGTGGCCCAGGGCCAGGCTGGCGCATACAGGCGGCTGCTAAGTCATCCCCTTCTGCCCACTCACCCCTCCTGTCTGCACTTCGGTCACTGGCTTCCTCTGGACCTGGCGCATCTTCCACTCGGCTACCCATCCCTCTCTGGGCCCTCCCTGGCCTCCCAGGGGCCAAGGGGCAGATGCAGGGCTGTCTGGGATTCAGACTCCTTCCGGGGATGAGCCCAGATCCCCTCTCCCCTTCCCCCAGCCCTTGGCCACCTTGCTAGTTGCCTCCCAGGCAGAATCTATAGGCTCTTCCGGGGCCTTTAGGTTGTTGGAAAACAATAGTTATTCCCGTTCCCATCCACAGGTCCCATCCACCCTCTGAGACAATTACCTACTTAAAAAGGAGAGGAGGGAACAATCAGGAGAGGAAAAAAAAGTCTAGGTTAGTGTCTTAAAAAATGTCATCCGGCCTCGGAGAACAGCATAGGGCTGGGTGCGCAATCAAGTTCTGGACTTGAAGAAGCCACTTGTTGGCTACGTCGTATTCCGCTTCGTGTGCGCCTTGCATTCCCCTTAAGTGGAATCACACAGACGGGTTGTATTAAATACGTTTCAAAATAGTTGCTACAGAAAAACTCGTCTGGGTCAAGTGTATTGCTTAACAAGGTCTAACTTTGTCACATTCGTTTCCCCACCTATTGAGATGATCCTGTGTCTTTTATCTTTCACTCTGTTAATATAGTGCCTCACACTGATTGATTTTCACATGTTTAACCAACCTTGCACCCCAGGGATCAATCCCACTTGGTCTTGGAGTACACTATTAAAAAATTTTTTTTTAACATTTATTCATTTTTGAGAGACAGACAGAATGCAAGCAGGGAAGGGGCAGAGAGAGAGAGAGGGAGACACAGAATCCGTAGCAGGCTCTAGGCTCCGAGCTGTCAGCCCAGAGCCAGACCCGGGGCTTGAACCCACGAACCGAGAGATCATGACCTGAGCCGAAGTCGGATGCTTAACCAGCCGAGCCCCGCAGGTGCCCCGAAATAATTTTTAAGTTTCCTTTTGATTTCTTCTTTGACCTAGTAGCTGTTCAAGAGTCTGCAAATTTAAATTAAATTTAAATTAATTTATATTACATTAAATTTAATGTAATATAAATTAAATTTAATTAAATTTAAATTACATTAAATTTAAATTAATTTAAATTAAGTTATGCGACTTAAATGTAACAGTAAACTATGTAGCAGGCTCTCCAGTGAAGGTGGCACTACTCTGTTTTCTGTGCCTGGAGAGAGAGCCCTGATGCAATGAGGTGCTTATGCCACATGTGAGTCTCCACACCCTTTGCAAGTTTAAGTTCTGACCAAAAGCATATGGAGTCTTCATTTCCCTGCATCCTCACCACCACTGTATATTACCAATCTTTGAGCTTTTTGCCAGTTGGGTGAAAATGATACTTTGTTGTTGTTTTAAATAAATTTCTCTAATTTTCAGTGAGGCTATGCCTCTTTTCATACATATAGCCATCTCTTCTTCTGTGTGTTTTTATTTGCATTTGATGCACGTTACCTTATTTTGCATTTTTACTGATTTGTAGGATATAATCGATATGTAAGATTTCAGATCTATTGATTATATCAATATATAGGATATATATATTTAGCATATATTCATTCTGGATAGTAATCTTGCATTTTGGATGCTCTTCTCTACCAAGCCTAATATTTTCGAGTCGGTTGGATCGGCATTCGATGCCACAAGAGGCGGGGAAGGCAACGAAGGGCAAGCTGACCAACAGCTCATAACCCAAGCTGACTTACAAATCACCAGGAGAAGGAGCTTTATTTTCTTAAAAGCAGAGGTGGCACCAAGCAGAAGAGGAGAAGGCACCCTGTACCCACATCACAGGAGCTACAGCAGATCTGTGTCGCCCAGAATGTTCGGAGCTCTTGGGCTCAGTGCAGATCCTTTCATTAATAAGCCTACGCCACCCCTCTGTGAGTTCATTCTTTGACTTTGTGCAGACTCTTCCCAAACTCCTCTGAGACCTTATTTGCCTCCTCTGCATGTGGTTTATGGAACCAGTGACACCAGGAGGGGTCCTGGGACAGAGCCAGTCTGGAGTGGGACCTGCCCAGTTTGAGTAACTGGGTTCTCAGCTCGGCCATTCTGGTGGTTACAGACACCTCAGCCTTCTGTAGTCTCCTCCTCCTCCTCCCCCTCTGTTTGTATCTCCCAGTCTCTCCTCTGAATGCATTGCCTTCGGTCATTCAATTGCTACTGGCGATACAATTATACACAATCACTTCCCTCCTGCCGAACAATAGCTTTCTCTTATACAGCCCAGCATATATATGCAAATATTTTCCCCCAGGCTATTGTTTGTTTTTTAATTCACTGCTTTCTTTTATCATACAAATTTAAAGCATTTATCCAGGCAAATCTGTCGATCATTTTTTTTTTTTTAATTTGGGGGGGGCTTCAGTGTTCTGTTTAAAAAAGTCTTTGGGGGGACCTGGGTGGCTCAGTCAGTTAAGCATCTGACTTTGGCTCAGGTCATGATCTTGCAGTTTGTGGGTTCGAGCCCCACATCGGGCTCTGTGCTGACAGCTCAGAGCCGGGAACCTGCTTCAGATTGTGTGCCTCCCTCTCTCTCTACCCCTCCCCCACTTGTGCTCTGTCTCTCTCTTTCTCAAAAATAAACACGAAAGAAATTTTTTAAATTAAAAAAGTACATTTATTTAAAAAAGGCTTCCAAACTCAAAATTGTAAGTGTCTGCTAACCCATTTACTTTCAGAATTATGTTTATTTTAAAATGTTGTTTTTGGGGGGCACCTGGGTGGCTCAATTAGTTGAGTGTCTGACGCTTGATTCTGGTTCAGGTTATGATCCCAACAGCTCAGAGTCTGGAACCTGCTTTGGATTCTGTCTCTTTCTCTCTCTGCCCCTCCCCTGCTCATACTCTCTCTCTCTCTCCCCCTCTTTCTCTCTCTCTCTCAAAAGCAAATAAAACATTAAAAATTTAAAAAGTATTGGTCATCTTAACCATTTTTAGGCATGCTGTTTAGGATTGTTAAGTACATTCATATTGTTGAGCTCTCAATCTCCAGGACGTTTTCATCTTTTTTTTTTTTAATTTTTTTAATGTTTTATTTATTTCTAGGAGAGAGAGACAGTGTGAGCAGGGGAGGGTCAGAGAGAGAGGGAGTGACAGACTCTGAAACAGGCTCCAGGCTCTGAGCTGGCAGTCAGCACAGAGCCCGACGCGGGGCTCGAACCCACGAACCGCGAGATCATGACCCAAGTGAAAGTCGGACACTTAACCGACTAAGCCACCCAGGCGCCCCCAGGACGTTTTCATCTTGCAAAACTGAAACTCTCTACCTATTAATCAACATCTCCCCATTCCCCACCTCCTCAGTCTCTGGCAATCACTAGTCTACTTTCTGTTTCTATGAATTTGATGCCTCTAGGGGCTTCAGATAACTGGAACCAGACAGCATTGGCCTTTTGTGACTGGCTTATTTCACTCAGCATAATATGTCTCATTTATATTGGAGAACGTGACACAATTTTCTTCCTTTTCAGGACTAATAATATTCCATGGCAGATACATAGCACACCTGGATTCTTTGTTCATCTCCTGATAGACACTTGACTTGCGTCCACCTGTTGCCAATTGCGAATAATGCTACTACGAACATGGTTATGCAGATACATCTTTGAGAACCTGTTTTCAGTTCTTTTGGGTATATATCCAGAAATGGGATTGCTGGGTCATAGGGTAATTCTGGTTCCAATATTTTGAGGAGCCACCGTACTGTGTTCGTCCGTGGCTGCACCATTTTCCATTTCTCCCGGCAGTGCACGAGGCTTCCAATGTCTGCACATCCTCGCCTACGCCTGTTTTTCCTGTTTTCTCGATAGTAGCCACCCTGACGGGGTATGAGTTGACATCTCCTTGTAAAAGTATATTACCTTTTAATTAGAAGAGTAATAAGTGAATACATTCTCATTACACATCATTCAAATGATATGGGCAGAGCTGGAGCCCAATTTACACACCATCCAACCTCGTTTCCCAGAGGGACCGCGCACTCAGCGAAGACTTATGTTGAGTACGTGTGATGTGGCAACACTCTTCTAGGTGGGGGGATACAGCAGTGAACAAAACAAAGTCGCCACTGTTACAGTGGTTGAGGCAGGAAGCAAGGGATAAACAGACCCTAGTGATGACATCTGGGACCGCTATCTTCAGGGCACTCCCCTTGCTACCATCGAGGGTGAC